GTGGTGGGGAGACTGCTCAGTTTCAGTCTCAGTCTCTGCTCAATCTGACAATCAGTGCGCCAGTGACCGAATCGAGCGAGTGAACAACGTCACTTCAAATGTGACTAAAGCTTAGGAAGAAGACTAAGAAGACTAAGGTGTACCATATTACGGAGTGAGTGGAGGAGGTGGAGAAGAGGATCAAGTAGTAGTGGGACGAACAAATAAGTCGGGAAAAACAGTGCTCTTGATAAGTCAGTGCGTGCCGAAGTTATCAGCTAATACAAAGAGAAGGACAGTATAAAAGTCAACAAGAAAACAAAGCAAATGTATAAATAAAAAGCAAAGGCACCTGCCTGCACTGTACAGTGTTGCAACAGTGGCGGCTAATTCGGTGCAAATTACCGTCACTACTTCTTCCTCCTCCTCCTCCTCCTCCTCCTCCCTCAATCTACCATGCCCTGAACTGCTTCTGCACTTTGCCAGCCTACACCGGCCTACACTCGGCAATCAAAGAGACCGGTGATAGCTGCGCCAATCCGCCGCTATCCGCAAATTGACTAGCGACTGAGCAAGCAAAGCCAACTGCTACCAAACTGTCATGACATTTGCTGGTTCCATTCAGCAATGTGTAGGAAAAGAGCGGAAAGGAGAGAAAAGGAAAAAGAAGGCCATCGAATTGGAAAAGAGAGGCAAACGAGAACTGAGAAAAAGAGAGAACATTCGGTGATAACAACTACAGACGACACAGACACCAGCAAAGTGAACGATCTGTGTGTGTGTGTGTGTCCATTGTGTGCCGAATTGAAGGGGAGATAAGACGATGACGGCTGCTGGCAATGGAGAGAGAATGAAAAGGAGGCAAATCTAATTAGGAAGGCCTGGACGACTGGTGCCACTACTACTGCTACCACTGTGCACTGGTGCACCCAAACGATCTTGGCGCCCACAGTGACGCCAAACACACACAGCCAAAGTTTGTGCCAACTAATTAAAATCAATTGTCAAATTAGAGGCAATTTATTTGGTAAGGAGAGAGAGAAGGAGAATTGGAGGCTGCAATTGCAATCAAAGGCACAGCCAATCTTTCTCTCTCTGTCTGTCACCATCACCATCATCAAACGACCATTATTAATGATTTGTCGCCAGTAACCGAGAGAGTTTGAGTTGTAGCTGGCGATACAACCGTTTAGTCTGCTCATCAACTGAAATCTCTCTAACAGCAATCTAATTAATTATCTAATTAATTAATAATCAAGAAAAATTAACAATTAATTACCAGCAATAGCAGCAGCAGCAATTCAGGAGGCAAGCGTATTTCGCCGAATCGCTTTTTGAAACTGCAACTTCAACACACTANTTTGAGTTGTAGCTGGCGATACAACCGTTTAGTCTGCTCATCAACTGCAATCTCCAACAGGCAGCAATCTAATTAATTATCTAATTAATTAATAATCAAGCAAAAATTAACAATTAATTACCAGCAATAGTAGCAGCAGCAATTCAGGAGGCAAGCGTATTTCGCCGAATCGCTCTTTGAAACTGCAACTACAACACACTACAGGAACATTTAGTGCATTCATTAGCCTAGTGAAGCGAAGGAAAGCGAAAGGAAAGCGAAAGGCAGGCAGTTGACAGTTTTGGGCTGACAGGGGCCCAAAGCATCGTGTGGCAGCCTACCTCAGCACAATGCAAACTATGTGAGCTGACTGACAATTGGAGCTGCACTGTGAGCTGTATGGTGTTAATTAAAATGAGATGCTATCAGATGAAGGGAACCAAGGCGACAACAACAACAAAGGAGGCAAACCATGCAATGGCCAATGGCAAGACAGAGCCTGTTAACAGCCAGCGAGAATGTATAGTCTTCACTGAAGCCCCACGGGTCAGACACGCGGCATGGGGACACTGCCACCACTTTTTACTACTGTGCGCTCACCACCCAGCAGTAATTTAATTTGCATTAAATATTAATTTAATAGAAGAGAGCGAGAAAGCGAGAAGATGCCTCACTCGGTCTTTGAGAATGTGACGCCAAGTGTGTGGGCACACTGCTGCCGGTGGGACATTAAAATGTAATTAAGGTTGCTGTGAGAGAAGAAGTAGGAAGAGAGGAGGCAGGCACACAGACAATTAGGCAAGAAAAAGTTGCCGTTAATTGATCAGCTATCAAATGCTCTGCATTTTAAAGAGAGAAAGAATAGCTGATGATTGAGATTGAGATGCACTTGCCGACATTGAGTTGCACCCAGCGAACACCCTACAAACGCTGACACAGGTGTGTAAGCAGCGAGACACGAAAGTGCTTGCTAGCTAATGCCATCAATAGGACACTAATCCTAATTCCTAAAACAGACACACAAACACACCAACTAGCGGAGAGCAATTACACACCACCGACACAATGGACGCACAGACTTGTCAATCGAGCCAGTGGGAACCAGCTGGGAACCAACAACAGCACTAGCACTAGCACTAGGCTAAGCCAGTGTCAGTGGCAGATCATAGCACCACCACANGAGTTGCCGTTAATTGATCAGCCATCAAATGCTCTGCATTTTAGAGAGATAGAGAATATCTGAGTTTTAGAGGAATTAGATTGAGATGCACTTGCCGACATGGAATTGCACCCAACACCCTGAAAACGCTGACACAGGTGTGTAAGCAGCGAGACACGAAGGCGATGCTTGCTAGCTAATGCCATCAATAGGACACTAATCCCAATTTCTAAAACAGACACACAAACACACCGGTCAGAGCAATTACACCACCGACACAATGGAATGGTAAANAAGTCTGCTGAGCATCACCAGCACCATCACCACAACAACAGCTCAACAAATTGCCGTCTCCAAAGATCACTTCAGGATTGACCGACAATAAAACAATTACACAGCAGTGTGGGTAGAGATTTGAAGTGCTTTGCAGTGATCTCTAGTTGGCGGCTAGATGTCAAAAGAGCAGCAGCTGAAAGACAAAAGGTATGTAATAGCTGTGAGGTGAGTGACGAGCGATCAGGGCAGAGAGAACAGAGAAGACAGAGATCACCGAGACTGACTGACTGGCTGAGTCTTCGTGTCAGAGTGATCACTGCAACACACTGGTGTTCAACAATGTGTTCGGTGTCAAATAGCCGTATGATTGTCGGACAGTGAGAGAGAGAAAACAGAGAGCAGAATGCAACGATCTCTCCTCACAGGATTCCTCATCACAGCTCTGACAGTGACAACATAATTAGCATATGTAATATGGCAATTTAACCGTTTGCAGCCAGAGGAGAGGAGAGAGGGTACGTACGAAGCAGCAGTCAGAAGCATTTAGAAACAACAAAACCCCGCTGAACATCTTCATTTGGATGAATGACTGGCAACAATTAGCCCGAAAGAGAGGAGGAGAAGGCAAAGCGGGTAATTGCCGGGTTCGTCGGTTGGCCCTCGATTATTGTCAGGCAGATTTGAGGCAGTAGGCAGCAGCAGCAATAATTGCTCCAATTATGGAAGAGAGCTGCATCAATGCAGAAAATGGGAAGCAATGAGTAGGCAAACGAAACACTTTACACCTGTCAATCGGTAGCAGTTGAAAGGTAAATTTGTACCTTTCACACCGATGCGCCGATCGAGCAGAGTACACTCACACACACAGTCAGGCAGATAATCAGAAAGACAGAAGAGAAGGCTGGAAGATGATCTAACAATTGAACTGCAAACTAACTAGCATGTAAACAAGAAGAAGCAGAAAAGGATCACACATACCTTTGCTTGGGGCGGCTCTAAATCCTCCGCGACCATCAAAAACCAAATCGAGGCAATCAAAGAGTGTGATTGCGGGCGCCCATCCAAATGACGAAATCGTCCTTTAGGCCATCGAGAAAGATAGGTTGTTCGCCACCACTAGAACTTCTTTTTCTTCTTCTGCTTTTGAGGTTATCGATGTTCTAAAAAGAAGATAGAATTAGTAAGGGGAATCGAACACAGAATGCAAAGGAATAGGATACCGAGTTTCGAAGGGAAAAATAACTTTTTTCCAGAACTTGTGGTGCCTTCTGTGTTGCGTGTTCCAAAAGACAGCCACCGGCTATAGCGGCACATCTCGGTTATATCTGCGCGGAAGCGGCTATTTTGCCGCTGTTTTGATTTGATGACGCCAGAAAAAGGCAAATCAAAACACTGTCAAATGTGAATCCACGGCTGTGATAGTGTGTCCTCGTTTGGAGAATTTCTCCTGGTGAAGAAGAAGAATCGACGACCAAAATAAAAATGGAGACGATGCTGCAGATAAAGGTGCTCAAGGAGAGCATCCACCGGAATGACATTGCAATAAAGAACCTGCTCAAGGTAAGCTTTTTTGTATTGATTGTCCATTCGGGAGTTCTCATTTCATCTCATCTCCACAGGACATTTGGGAGTGCGAGGGCACACTGCAGGACCTGAACCGACTGAACATGGACATCTCCAAGCGGTTCAGTCAGACGAGGCAAGATCTGGCGGTAAGATAGCTTTCTGGTGACTTTAAATGAGATTCTAACATGTTCTTTCTAAACAGGACATCAAACGCCTGATCAAGTCGATCGAGGACAGCGACACGGTCGCCTCTCTGGCCAGCCAGCACGAGCAGATGCAGAATCAGTTCGAGGTGAACATGCTGGTGCAGTCGAAGGCGGTGACGGCCAGCACGCGGCGGATCAACCAGCGGACGCGGGAGAGCCTCTTCAAGGGCGCCGGAGAGCTTCGAAATCGCCAACTAAACGGCAACTACTCCGATGATGGCAGTGGCCAGCCCAGCGAGGAGATCCTCGCCAACCAGGCCTCCCACCTGACGGAGAGCCTGCAGTCGGTGAATCGGCTGCTGGCCAGCGAGGTGGAGAAGAGCAAGTACACCCTCGACACGCTGGTCAGCTCCTCGGCGGTGGTCACCGAAACGAGCGAGGAGTTCAAGACCATGTCCAGCTACATCGCCAACTCGAAGACGCTGCTGAACAAGTACGGCCGCCGGGAGCTGACCGACAAGGTGCTCATCGCCCTGGCCATTGCCTTCTTCTACGGGTGCGTCGCCTACGTGGTCCTCCGCCGGCTCTACTGGAAATGAAAATCGAGCTAATAAAGTGGCACACTTGGCCATCACTTTGTCATCGGCGTTTAATATATCATCGGAAAGAAAAGTGGAAAGGTAGTAAGAAAGGATGACACCATCGGTGTGTGCTGTTTGTTGTGTGATTTGGTTTGGTGTGTGGGTAAGAAAAGAGGGGGTAAAAGTA